TAAATCTGTGTTGACTATGTAAATATGATAAAAGAAATATAGAAAGGAAAAATGGGAAATAAGACTGAGATATTTTTAAGTAAAATCAAATCCTTTTCTATTACTGAGGATTGTGTGAAGAGAATTTTGTGAGGTTACTCATTTAAAAAATGTTAGAAGAAAATATTTTAAATAATAATGAAATATTTACAAAGTTTACAGACCTTTTTTCATCCATGGATTTCCAAGTATATTTAACAGTTCTTGGAGTATGAATGCAATGAAGAAATTAAATCATCTTGAAAATTATTTATAATTTTTAAGATTTATTATGATTCTGGCAGGAATAAGCTAATGAATTTTACATCTTTCACCTAATGAAGAATCCAGAATTAGTAGTAAACGTCCATTCAGGTGATTTTGAAAACTTTTATATTAAAAGTGTTAACTAACTTGATTTGCTCAGAATAGATTTTCTAGAAACAATATATGAAGAAATACTCTGAAATAATTTTTTCTAATTATAAAATCTATTGATAAATATTTCTAAATTACAATATGTTCTTGAAATAGTAGGTGTTTTGTCAGTTAAAATTTTTTGTGTTTGTTTAGAATATTTACATAAAAAGTTTGTTTATCAGATATATTCCTAATAGTAGGCTTTAGCTATATCTGCTCTGTTAGCTCAGTTTTAAAAATGTTGTTATGTATGTGCCATTGAGTCGTTTGTGACTCCTAGCAACCCTGTGTAAAACAGCCTATATACCCTGCTCTAGCCTGTGCCAGTCTTACTATTTCAGACACACCTCCCCCCATTCACCAGTCATTTAATCAAATCATCTCATCAAAGGTCTTCCTCTCTTGCACTGTCCCTCCACCCTCCCAAGCGTGATGTCCCTCTCTTGCAGCATGTCCAAAGTATGTCAGATGAAGCTTAAGAATCCTTGTTTCCCAAGGGGAAGCTTGGTTTCACCCTCTCTAGTATGAACTAGTTCTCCTAACAGTCCATGGTATACTCAGTATTTTTTCCCAGCACCACAGCTCAAAGGCATCAGTTCTCCTATCATTCCTAGTCATTGTTCAGCTCTCTGATGCATAGCAAGTAATTGCTTAGACTGTGGCCTGGATCAGGCGCACCTTAGTCTTCAGACTGACATCGTTACTTTTCAGTACTTTGGAGAGGTCTCTGATAGCAGACATTCCCAGTGGGATTCATCTTTTCATTTCCTTGCTGCTGACACCAAGAGTGCTGATTGTGAGGCCAAAGAAACTGAAGTGGTTAACAGTCTTGATCTCTTCATTGTCTGTCTTGATGCTGCCAATTGGCTCAGTGGTGAGAAATTTTGTTTTCTTGATGTTGATCTTCAATCCATATTGAAGGCTGTGGTCCCTGACCTTTCACAGCAAGCGCTTCAGGTCCTCTTCAGTTTCAGCAAGCAGGGGTTGTGCCATCTGCATAACACAGATTGTTGATGAGTCTTTCTCCAATCCTGATGCCACATTTCTCCTCCTATTGCCCAGCCTTGTGGATAATCTGTTCTGCATATAGATTGAAAAGGTATTGAGATAGGACACATTTCTTTTCCAATTTTGAACCATGCAGTGTTTTCTTGCTCTGTTCTGATGACTGCCTCCTCATCCAAGTATAGTTTTAGCATAAGCACGATCAAGTGTTCTGGGATTCTCATTCTTGTAGCACTTTAAAAATACTGTTTTTTTTCCCAGATCAACACTTAATGATTTTGAAGGGAGTCAGTTACCCGAAAACATATCAGCAGAACAAAAGTTTGAAAAGAGTAACTTCAGTATTGTGGAAGGTAAAGTGCTCTGCAAATAATTTTGATCTTTGAAAATACTTAAGATATTTGGGGCTACATGTACCTTAAATAAAAAGCATGTCAGACATTTCATAGGTCATAGTTCTTGGCTAGAGTTTAATCAGAGAATTGTGGGAAGCATTTTAGAAAATACACTGGCCCATATCAACATTTCTAGGGTAAAGATATAGTTTATAAATAGTTCCTTAAGATGCTCTGGAAAACACTCCAAAGTAAACATCACAAAACAAACCTCTCCTTAGTCTTAACAATTCAAGTCCTAAAACTGCCTGATAAAAACTTTATACAACAAAAACCTAATGGTTTGTTTGTAATCCTATTGTGTGCAACTTAGGATTTTTACATAAATTTGGAATTTATTAGAATTTGGTCTGAAAATCTTTTTAAGTTGACATGTTGCTTGTGTTACCCACTAGCAGACATTTAATTTTAATTTTTAATATTGTGAAGTCGGTACATAATGTAAATATAAAAATTGTTTTTAAAACGTGTTTCCATGACAGCAGGAACAAAAATAAGGTAGTTACTACCTTGGGAACAAAATTTGATATTTTAATGAAAGAATTCTTTAGTGTTGGAATTGTTTCGTTCAGATGGAATTCTGGTAGCATAGTTCATAGAGAGTTGTGCTGCTAACCGAAATATAGTGCGTCTTGGGCCATTCAAATCTACCAATGGCTTTTTGGAGAAAAATGAGCAATTTCCTATCATGCAGTTCCCAGCCTCTGAAACCCATTAGAGTCTGATGTGAATTGCCAATTGTGTGGCATTGAGTTTTGTTGAGGCAGAATCGTGTATAATTACATACAATATAATATAAATTTATACAGAGTACTATAGAGGAAAATTCTGCCTAGGGATGTCTAGTGAGCCAGGCAGAGGGAAAAGCATTTAGCAGAGGTATAGAATGGTTTATGAGTGATGGAGGAATTTTTGAGAAATAGAATGGAAAAGCTGTGAAGGATAACCTTTCATATTGCAAAGAAGTCCAGGATTTATTCTTTACCAATGATACTTAATATCTTTGGAATCATGAATTTTCTTTCTAGAAGAATGTGCATTAAATGAATTTCCAGTGTATGTGAACACTGCACAAGTAAACCGTGCTCGCTGCTAGCTAGCGAGTTAAGGACCTAAACCTTGGAAAATAAGTACTCTTCAGGAATTAATGGAGGAAAAACAACAGTCTGGAAGGTTGGGATAGAAGCCATAGAAGGTGCCAATCAAGTGTCCTGCCA